AACTGACAGAATAATTGGAAATAAAATGACAGAGTCCTATAGGAAGCATGGTAGGATGTGGAGAAGTCTGATTTCCATTCCTCTCTGTTCTCTGAACAAAGAATCAGCAGTGGAAGGACAAATGCAAGAAAGGCTTTGAGGGAAAGGCTGGTTACAGTCAGCATAGACACATTCCTGCAATGAAACCTGAGTAAAAGCACCAGATTCTTGAGGCTACCAGTGACATGCAGGTGACACCAACGATATTTTTAAAATTCAGTGTATGTGGTGCATTTTTCCTACTTCTCTGGAAGCATTACACATCAGGGAATGCTCACATCATCATGCTGCATCTCACAGTGAAAAAAAAAAAAAAGGAGACACAGTGCAGGTAAAAACCACAAAACTCTACCTGCTTTAGTTAGCTCTATTAAAAAATTAGAATTAAAAAAAAAAAATCAATAAAAGGTGTCCTGGGTTCAGCTAGGATAATTTTCTTCCTAGTAGCAGGCATAGTGCTGTGTTTTGCATTTAGTATGAGAATAATGTTGGTGAAACACAGATGTTTTAGTAGTTGCTAAGTAGTGCTGACACTAGTCAAGGACTTTTCAGCTTCCCATGCTCTGCCAGGTGCACAAGAAACTGGGAAGGGGCACAGCCAGGACAGCTGATCCAAACTGGCCAAAGGGCTATTCCATACCATATGACATCATGCTCAGTATATAAGCTGGGGGGAGTTAGCCGGGGGACAGCGATCACTGCTTGGGGACTGGCTGGGCATCAGTTGGCAGGTGCTGAGCAATTGCATTGTGCATAATTTGCTTTGTATATTATTATTATTTTCCCTTCCTTTTCTGTCCTATTAAACTGCTTTTATCCCAACCCATGAATTTTTCTTTTTTTTTTTTTTTTTCTCCCCCAATTCTCTCCCCCATCCCCCTGGGGAGGCGGGGAGGAGTGAGTGAACAGTTGTGTGGTGTTTAGCTGACTACCGGCTTAAACCACAACAAAAGGCAATGTCACATGTTTTAAGAACCATCAGACATCTTAAAAAGAAATTGTCACCAGACAGTCATGACCAAATGGGGACATCAGCAGTGAGTTTCTGCAGATTATTGTAAGGATGAGAACACTACTCGATGTTTCCATCAACAGCTTTTGTATGCTTATGACCAAAAGACTGTCAGTGTGGTAAGACAGGGACAGCACAGCCTTACATACAAAAATACGTTTTAACACACAGAGAATGAGGAAGGGGAAGATGCATCCAGAGAGTGGGTAATTCTGAAAGGAACAAGGCAGGGGCTCACATTGCCTCAGCAAGCTGCAGCGAACAGCGTTAATGAGATGTAAAACTGGCTGAGTAATGACTTCTGATCTCCACTGCCAGGTTTATTTTTATCCAAGACTGTTTAAAATTAAATGCATAAACAACCTGGAAAGAACACACCTTCTCCCCTGCTCCAAGGTATGTGTTTTGAACACTATGCTATAGTTAGCTCCTCCTTTGCCCATTTTCCTTCTGGCTCTCCTTTTGCATAATGACAGCTCCAATGGAGGTATAGCGTGTCTTCTTCCCAGCACACACATTGTTTGGTGGTTAATGCAGCCTTCTGGAAACCTGGGGATGTAAATCTGTATCCAGCCACAGAAGCAAAGAGGTCATTCACGTGTCCTACCTCTGCTGAGACCTCTTAACCAGAAGCTAATTATTCAAAAGGTGACCATCATATTTTCTGTATTTCAGATCAAAAGAACGATCCTGGAAAAAAACCATGCAAATACTTACATGCAAGCTTTCAAGCATGAGCAGATGGCGATAACTACCTGGAGTCCTGACTCAGCCATTACGGTGCTGGAAAGGAACAGGATTTCACACCCTTCCCCAGGGTTAACATTTCCTACTGCTAGCTCTGGGCTGCTTCCCTCCCAGAATAACCTGGCTTTCAGGACATCACTTTGAAACGGTTCAACTCATCCTATATGCAGTAACAGAGACTTCTGTTGGCTTTGGCCCTGGAAGAGTTTTTAGGATGTGTTTTAGATAAAGGCAAATGATGAGGCTTACCGCAGAGGTAAATGTGTGCACTTTAATGGCCTTTGATATACATGAGACTAGAATATCTAATAGTTCTTAACTATTAGCTGCTTAATTTCTGTTCTCCCCCTGTAAGGGAAGTACAATGGGTTTTATCACATTGGGTTTGGATCACTGATACTGTATTTTATACTGAAAAAGGAAAGTATTATATAATCCCACACAAGACTAATCTATTAAAATGAACAGATCTTTAACTGAAGCGATTATCTACAATTGCATGGACGGCTACGAATGGAACTTTTCCAAATTTAACTGTTTGTAGAGTGATTACACTTGAATTGCTACGACTAAAGGTTCTGTATCACTAAATTTCACTGGGATGCATAAGTAACTTCTATAATTTTAGAAGTATCCTACCTGTTTCATTTTTGTTTTGAAAAGTCATACTGTGTAAAAGGGTACTTTTGAATTTTACCTTTTTTCCAGTCGTTCTTGACATTGACAGTCTTCATGCACTTGCATAGCTACATGTGAAAGTATTACAAGGTCAGTTTTAAAGGCATACCCCATCGTATCTGTAAACTCATAGCCAAGAACCATTTTTACGGGATGGTGCAACATTTGGCAATGGTGCCTCGATTCCCTAATTTGGAACTGTAAAGGAAGTACAGAAATACCAAACATCTAGACTCTTACCACTGTCAGAAAGAACACTAAACTTCCTACTGCATAAAACAAAAGGCAAACCCCACTCCTCCTATAAAGAGCTAAAGCTTGATTCCACAACCAATTTGGACAACTCCCTCCCACTCTCCAAAAAAATCCACCCAGGTACTTGCCTTGACACTTGTCTCAACTTACTTCACTGATCCACGAATAGAAATACTATAGTATTATGTTTGTCCGATGGCAAATGGCTGCTAGTTACCTACTACAACAAACCTTAAAAGCTGTTCTGTCTAGGGCTGTATACACAGAGAGAAAGTTGAAATTTTAAAGGTCAGAAGGGTATTCTCCCTAAAATGTAAACAAGGATGCATCCCCAGTCTAGAATTTAAAAATTCAATTTTCTCCATCTTCAGTGGTATGTATAAGCAGCACTTGTCTTTGTCCCAAGGTCTCTGAGGTACACAGATACAAGAAGCCAAACTAAATTGTGTCCCCTACTTACTTTGGAGAAAGGATCACTTTGCTTTCTCCTAAGAGTTTTTCTGATGACGGATAAACTTACTTTTTGTAAATTGTTGCCTGTGAAGAATTAAATGCCACCTTACTGCAAAATCCTCTTCTCTACAGTCCATTTCTTCTCCAGCTCAACTAGGGAAGAAGCAGCTTGGAGATCACAAAGTTTTTTGTCATCTTATAAAGGTACTGACAGAACAGAAAGTGTCACAACTCTCTCCATGCAATCCACCGTAATTATTTCAAAAGACTGCAGAGCTAGGTAAGGTTACATTCTGTATCTATGACTACTCTATCAGGATTTTGGCACAGTGAAAGCTAAGTTCTGCAGAGCCATAAAGGTGCTATGATGAACATTACTTCTCAAAATTAGAACAGTCCTGAACTACTATAACTTGAAGGTACCTCTTCACAAGCTTTTAGTAAAGAAGCTGCTGTTGGTTAATAATAAGTCTGCCTTTCCATTTGCAGGAACTGCTCTTCTACATTTAGTTTGAAAAAAGTCACAAAACATATGGTAGCAACTATTGAGACAACTTGTTCGTAGTCTTTCTTTTCACTCATCGATTCTGAATAACGGGCCTTTGCAACAAAGTCATTAAGCACACTATTGTACTTGACATAACTCAAACTCAATCCTACAGCACAGCTACAGCTTTCAAGCTACTCTGACTTTTCTCCCGTTCCACTGAGGAAACACAGCAAAAGTGCTGTTAGAGAACACTAGTGTAAGGGGCTTAGCTTTGCTAGTTCTAATCCAAAATACTTTCTAATTTCACCACATTTGTGAGTATCTCTCAGACCAACTCCACTAGTATTTACTTTTTTCCATGCTAAGCTTCTTGTGCTTGTCTTGTTTCCTAATGATGTAAAGCTGGACGCCTAACTTCTCTCTACATTCCCACTGGTTTTCCACTTAATTTCAGACACATACAGCAAACAAGACTTTTAATTTTTTTTAATTTACAGTATTGATTGCTCTGAGTTATGCCTTACTGTCAGTACACAGTAAATACATTCACCTGAACAATTCACTTAGTATGAAAAAATGCAGTTAAAACATTAAAAATACCGCTTTACACTGTGCAAAACAGAACCTTATGAAGTAATGACATTGGCTACAGCCAGGCACAGAGGAAGACTCTTTCCTTTTAGTCTACCAGGGCATTCATTCCTGCACCCCTTCGCCTGAAATTGCATGTAACAGTAGACTTTAGGTGAATACTTTTGATGAATTAAGGATTTAATAACTCTCAGCTTGGTCTTTAGGACTTGTATTTCCAGAACAGGAGGTTTTTCTGTTCTATTCATTACACCAAGAATGGCTGCTTTCGGAAGATTTACTGAACGAACGGTTTCAATAACACTTAAAAAACTGACTATGTTTCTGAAGGGGAGTTACACTCTATTGGTGCATGCAGCTGTCAAAGTCTAGATAAATCAGGTAACATGCTTCCCTTAGATAGAAAAACTGCCATTTCATGAATAGTACTTGTCAGATGAAATGCATTCTTATCACAAGCTTTAGATAGATTAACATATACCACAACACCTAGCACTGATTAAATTTAGAAAAATATTATCTTGGGTTTTTTTTTTTTTTTTAGCCTTTGTTGTTTTGGGGTTTTTTTAATCTTTAAAGTAATATAACAGAAAACATACAGTGGAAGATGTCAAAAATCACCCTGCTTTTTAATCTGGAAGAGCTGGGCTGTCAAAGCTATTATGCTGTTGACAATTACTCATTTGATTATTTATAGATATATTTTTAGGCAATGAAGAGGCAGGAAATGTTGGGTTTTTTTTCTTTTTTTAATTCTATGATCAAGTATGACCGAACATTATAGTAATTTAAATCAACCCAATTACATAGTTTCCATTAAGTTAATGGCTGCCGAACAAGCATGTACTCCAGTAACCCACTGTGAGCAATGTTATCTGATGTGCGAGACAGATTTTAAGGTTAGACACAGTACATGTAAAAATAGAAAGTTTAAAAACCAATCTCATCAAGGACATTTCCATTGCCATCTCCCTTGCGAAATAAATAAGGCAGCAGGTAACTTTTACTTCGAAGTGGCATCTTTGAGGTATGCTATTAAGTCTGCTCTCTCAGACTTCTTCTTAATACCCGCAAAAATCATCTTTGTTCCTGGGATATACTTCTTTGGATTTTCCAAATACTCCATCAGAGTATCCTCACCCCAGATGATACCTAGAAAAAAGAAAAAAAGATAGTTAGCAACTTCAAAATAACAATTGCATTTATATTCTTGTCTTCCGTATTATTTTACTTTTTGGCAGAATTCTATCTATCACTGATAACTAAGTATTTTTGTCCCTAGTAACTCGTAAGAACAGCTTGAAGTTTACCTTTATTCTTATTAGCATCCGTGTAAGAGAAGCCCTCAGCTTGTCCAGTCTTGCGTCCAAATAGGCCATTCAGGTTGGGTCCGGTCTTGTGCTTGCCTCCCTTTTCAACTGTATGGCACTGGGAACATTTCTGGACAAAGATCTTCTTGCCCTTCTCAATATCTCCCATTTTCAGTACTAGACCAAGAACACACACAGAGGTCAGTATTGCAATTTCAAGGTCACCTATTCAACAGAAACTTTAAAAGTGTCCTGTTGGTTTACAAAACCGTGTAATTGGCCCATCAGTCTAATAATTCTCCAGCAGACAAGCTATCTACAAGCTATAGCTCCTAGGTTTGAAGATTAGCAGACTTTGTAAATGGTATCAAGGTGATAAGCATGCTTGAAGAGCAGGAAAAACCTTCCCTCAGCCAAAGTAATTGCCCCACAGCACTTGCACAGTATGGAGGCAGTTTTTGAAGTGTAAATCGAACGTGACTGCCATATATGGCTTGTATATCTAGAATAGGAAAGTTTCATAGTCATGAATAATCTTGTGTAAAGGGACAGGGACTGTTCGCACGTTTTCCCATTTCAGCTGGAAAAGCGCACTGGCACACCACCTCGGAAGGAGCCGAGGGCGGCAGGCACAAAGCTGCCCGCTCCCCTCTTGCCACAGGCCGGGACACCTCCCCAGCACCCAGGTGCCAGCGGCAGCGCTACTCGCACGCGGTGTGGCGAGAGCACCCAAGGGCACACGCACCTCCCGGCTCCGGCTCTGCCTCCGCGGAGGCTGACCTTGAGGCGAGGAGCAGGCTGGGGC